AAGTTATTTTATTTGTCAAATTGATGGTCATGCAAAGCCACATCGATCTGCAACAGAACCATCAAGAAAAACAAATAAAAGATACTTCAGGTAACGTTAAGTCGAATGCATTCTGTTCTGCTAGAATGATTGTTAACATAAGTAAAAATGGAACCACAAATGTGCATTACATAAAAACTCACAATCATACTGTTGCTGTTAGTAATACTATGTACCAGCCAATTCCAGATAATGTAAAAAAAAAATATTTCTCTTAAGTTATCTATTGGGGTACCGGTAAATCAGGTCTATCATGATCTTAGGGAGAGTTTCAGAGAAAAAGAAAATAGAGTTAATAAAGATAATCTTGTTCTCACAAAATCCAATCTTCTTACAAAAAAAAATATTTCTGATATCAACAGAGTCATAAAAAAGGGATGTCGACTTCACCCTGATGGTAGTACATCAACATATTTACTAGTTCAAAAATTAATTTGTGAAGAGTTCAATAGCATTCTTGTATATAAACCACAAGGACAACAAACTATTATTGGGCCTAAATTGTATGATGATCTTGATCTCAACAAAAATTCCTTTGTTATTGCAATACAAACAAAGCAGCAGCTGGCAATGTTTGAAAAGCATGTTATTCATTTGAAAATTTTATATATATATATATATATATATATATATATATATATATATATATATATATATTAAATTTTCAAATGAATAACAATTTTAAAAAATGTATAATTTGGTTTATTTTAAATGAAAATTTTCTATGTAATGTTTTAAAAATTATTCTTTGTGTGTGTGCAATTTAGAGAAGTAAAAAAAAAAAATTACAATCTTCAAGATTTTTTCAAGATTTTTTGTTACTAGTATCAATTAAAAATGAAGTTTAAATGGATGATATAAGGCTAAAAGTAGCTTACATTATGTTTAGAAAATGATGGAAATGTTAATAGGCAAGTTGTAAATAATTTTCGCAGAAATGCATGAAATAGGCTGAGGCAAGATGAAATAAGTAATCTTCAAAACATTAGATACGCTGTTCGGCAAGCTGCAAATAATTAGAATTAAAATGAGGACAGTGTAATTAGGCAAGTTGAAAATAATCGTTGCAGAAATGCAAGAAATAGGCTGACGCGAGATGAAATTAATAACCAACAAAATGCTAGATATGCTGCTAGACACGAAAAAATGCATTGTATAGCAAGAAGTAATGTTATTCCAGATTATAATTATTTAGGAGAAATGAATAAAATTTGTCAGCACTGCGGTGCTAAGAAATTTCCAGATGAAATATTTTCTATGTTGCCATAATGGTAAGGTAACTTTGTCTCTACTTTCACCATTTACACAAGTTTTACATGATTTATTTACAGGGAGTTATGTAGATCGTAATGCTAATGTTAATTTTTTTAAACTTATTCGAAATTATAATGCCTGTCTTTTATTTGCTTCTTTTACAGCAAATGTAGTTCAATCAATAAATCATGGGCCTCCGTGTTTTAAAATATGTGGTCAGATTTTTCATCATGTAGTTAATTTTAGGCCAGATTAAGATATTCAACCAATATATTCTCAACTGTATATTTATGATCCACTTGCAGCAGTAAATTTTAAAATGCAACAGCGTAATGGTCTTTGTTTACGTGATTTATTGTTTCTATTGCAAACTATAATTATTGAACAAATTCCATTTGCTCTTGCATTTAAAAACATGGCTGAAGTAGAAGATAAAAAAAATCGTCAAGCGGCTATAGAAGGTCGCCAAGCTTCTGTTGTAAAAATGTCTTTACTTGAAGGGGGTGATAGACGTCGCTATAATCTACCTTCAAACGATGAAGTTGCCGTTGTATTTGTTGATGAAGATGGTGCTCCCCCAACTTCCAGGGAAGTTGTTATTTATCCAAGAGGTCAGCTTTTAAAAATTGTATCAAGTATGTCAGCTAACTTGGATCCTATGGTTTATCCGCTCTTTTTCTTAAGAGGTGATGCTGGCTGGCAAAATTAGTTAGTACAAAACCCTAAACATATGTCAAAATTGAAGGTCAGCGTCTAGCTTTTATCAGAAATAATCAAAATAAGTTGAGAAGCGAGCAGTATGATGCCTTACATGAACATTTTAACAACATTGCCAACGATCGTAATATTAGACCTGAGCGAGTAGTAGTTTTGCCATCATCTTATGTCGGAAGTCCTAGAGCTTTAAAAGAAAACTTTGAAGATGCTATGGCAATTATTAAAAAGTATGGTAAACCAGATTTTTTTATTACTTTTACTTGCAACCCAAAATGGCGTGAAATAACAGAAAATTTATACCCAGGTCAGACTGCGAATGATAGACCTGATTTGGTTATTAGAGTATTTAAACTCAAGTTAACCTCCTCATTGATATATTCAAACATGGTGTATTTGGCAAAGTTGTAACGCATGTTCAGGTTATTGAGTTTTAAAAGCCCGGTTTGCCACATGCCCACATTTTACTTCATTTAGCCAATGATGACAAACTTGAAACATCACAGGATATCGATAATTTAATATGTGCAGAAATTCCAGATCCGATTGTTAATCTTGAACTTTATGGTATTATTAAAACTTGCATGATTCATGGCCCATGTAGGATACTAAATCCTAATTCTCCTTGCGTGAAAGATGGGGTGAGCAGTAAAAATTATCCTAAAGAATTTAGTGCCGACACAGCAGCCGTTCACAATGGTTATCCAAGATATAGACGTCGTGATCATTGGTTGGTTATCAATATTATTATTAAGCCTTAATATTAAGCCTTAACAAAGGGCTTCAGATTTAGCCTTGAAAATGCTCACCTAAAATATCATGACAATGTTTGATTTGTGCTTTAAACATTTTTTTTTTTTTTATTACCCATGTTACCATCAACAGCGATAATAAAAGCAACACATTTTTTTTTTTAAGCATTTTTTTTTATTCCTAAATGCTTTTATCATGCGAATTTTATTATTGCGAATGGGTTTATTTAGATAAACAAATATATCATTTGTTAAATTTAAAAAATGACAGGTTATTTGAACTGGAGTATAAAAGATGTTTGCGTACACTTAGAACTTTAAGGACTCCCCGAACTTAGACAAAAAGTTATTGGTTAGATTTAAGTTTTTATTTATTTTCAAGCCATTATATAAGTGTTGGGACACTGTATATATATATATATATATATATATATATATATATATATATATATATATATATATATATATATATATATATATATATATATATATTGATAAGTGTTAGTGAGGGTTCAAGGGGAACTCAAAAGTTTTTCGAGTTATCCGGGGTTCAAGATATTAGGAGTTTACAGTTGTCAATGATGTTTTTGATAAAAAAGAAACTATTTGTAAATGTAAAACTAGTAATACAAATTGGATTCAGTTTCATTTGCACAATACATTTATTTTATCTTTATTAAAAACTGAAGAAATTCCTTTATTTTTTAAAATATTATTCAATTATGACAACTCTGGGTATTTTGCGGTAAGCTGATACTTTGTGACATACGTATATATGCATATATGCATGCATTCAGAGTTAATAAGTATGAATCTTGGCCAATATGTTTACCAAATGAAGTTTGTGTAACAAACTTCATTTGGTAAACATATTGGCCAAGATTCATGAAAAATAATCACGTGAGCATGCGCAGAAAACTGCGCATGCTCACGTGATTATTTTTCCGTTCCCTTTCCCTTTCCCGTAGAAAAACGGATGAGTGGAAACTCACCTTAATACTTTTTTTGATTGTTAATCTGATAATATGAATACGCTAATTTAATATTATTATTATTATTATTAGTCGAGTTACGTCATTTTCTAGGCTTTTCTATTTTAAAGTAGTTTCTAGGCTTTTCTATACGCGGTTTTTTTTTTAATTTTATTTACTAACAACGCGTATTACGGGTTGCTTACTGCTAGTAGAAAAAGGGGTTACAATGCGCTAAAATAAAATTAAAAGTTGTCACAATATTCTTCCTTGCTCTCACTTTCTTCCAAATCTGATATTGTAACTGTCGCTAGATCAATGTCTGTTTTTCCTGACTTTTTTTTTCTTTTTTCCGGATAACAATGAAAATTTGCTGACAATCGTCTAACTTTATCATTATACCATTCGTCCATAGCAGTATCAGGTTCAAATTTGTCAATCTCAGGACCTTCTTCGCTTATCCGAAGTAGAGATTCTAAACGATCTCGTCTAAGACAACTTCTCCAGTCATTTTTTACGCGATTCAGACATGAAAACATTCGTTCTACCTTCGCATTTGTAAAAGGACAAATTAAAAATAGTTCAAAAATATCAAGAATATTTCGGCATTCTTTGACTAAACTTGATTTGGAAAAAACAATTTCCCAAATTTTCAAATAATACAAATTTTCAAATAATTTTGATTATTACTTATGATGGGAAACATGTATGCTTTTAAAACGATCCACTCATGAAGTATATTATTCAAATCACATCCTACACCAATTGAAAATTCAGAAAAATGTTTAACAACATCACCGATAGCTTTATCACCAAAAGTACCGTCATTCACATTTAACGGCCAGTTATAAATGTCAAGTAAAGCTACCAAATGCATAAACAATGGTGATTTTTGGAGAGATTGAAAACGGCCTTCCATACATATGGTAATATTTGCAATAATTAGTTTGTACTGGTCAAGAACATGGCTATTAACTTCAGTATATTGAGAAAGTGGAATATTTTGATAACATTGCTTTGAATCAATTGTCTCAATATCTTTAGACAGTCTTTTATAATGGGTCATAACACTTGTATCATCAAGAAAATTGTCTAACGAATTTTCTAGAAGAATTTGCAGCTTGGCCATTGTCCATGTAAAATCTTGGACTCTTCTTACAGCTTTAACTGGATCATGAATATTGTTCTGAAAACTTAAACTCAAACGCCGAAGGGGAGATAAAACATCAAGATATGTTGATAAATTAATAGGCACAGACGCACTTTTCCATCACTTTAAAAAACCTTTTAACTCTGCTCTCTTTGCTATCTGGGAGCCTGTTATAGCCGATGATTCAATATGTGTCATAAACACACCATAATTTTCTAAAGCAATTTTCATTGCTTTATATTTGTGATCAATCCACCGAGTTCCGCATGCATTTGTTGGTTTCGGAACACTATTACCCCAAGCATCGGCTAATCCTTGTAGTTCTCGGTAGCGTTTTGGTGACTTTTGATACAAGTAATAAAGTTGTAAAAGGAGTTCGTCAACAGTTTTGAAGGCAGATAAACTTTCAAACGCATCTTTTAAAGCAAGTTCAAGTCGATGGTTAAAACAATGTACAACTTCCAGCCAAGGAGAACCTTCCTTTAGTGATGCGCCTAAACCAGCATAAGCTCCTAGATTAACGTTAGCTCCATCAAGATTTACACCCAATAGATGTTTATAAGAATTGGTAATGCCAACTCTTGTAAAAGCGTCTGTTATACATTTTTTCAGGCCAACAGCATTAGAATTCTCTGCCGTTTCAATGGATAAGAATTCTACTTTCGGACTTCCGTCTTTTAAATAAAGAATGTAAATCAATTCCTGTTCCGATACAGCTGAATCTGTGCTTCCATCACAGAGAACACAGTAAAATCTACAATTTTTTAAACATTCAGTTAATTTGTTTTTAATTACGGTGCCAATGTAATCTGTAAATATTGCAGCTGCACGGTCAGTGCCATAAGAATTTCCTAAATTTGTAACCCCATTAGTCTTTTCTAATGCAATCAAATAAGGATAATCTGTGAATGGACGCTCTCGTTTTGCCAAGTAATATGCAATATTAAACTTTTTCCGGTCTCTTGGCCGTAAAAGAGTCGTAAAAGAGTCGGCCTCTTTTACGGCCATTTTACGTAAACCACGCCCGATAGGAGTATTATGAATAACATGGTTAAATAATGAAACTGAACCTAATGTTGTTTGTTGATGAATTTGCGTGGCCTCTTTAAGTTGCGCACTACTTAAGTGCGCTGCCAGTGAGTCTTTTTTTATTGATATTGTTCCTGGTTTGATCCAGGTCATAGAAAACAATTTTGTTTGACTTATCCGTTTTTCAAATTTTTTTCATAAGCTGCATCTTAATCTTATAACTTCATCTCCATTTAAATCGTATTCTGACTTGCAATTCAAAAGTTTTTCCCACTTTTTAACTGTAGATAATCTGCGTCTGTGGTCCTTATTTGCATCCATTTATTGCTATTAATTTAAAGTTAGCAAGTATACTAACAAACTTTGGAGAGTTTTTTTTTAACAACTAGTTTAGAGTCTGTCTAGTCTAGTCTGTATTGCCTTCCACAATTCTTCGCAAATTAAACTTATAAAAATATCATTAAATTTGTTCATAATGAATAAGCAAAATCAGAATAAAGCCCTTGAGAATTCGAGTTAAGAAAATGACTTTTTAATCAATTAACTTTTATTTCTTTTTTTAATCAAAATCTTTTATTACTTGATTCGAAAAGGTATTTTTTTACATTTTTACTAATACATTTTTGCTAATTGATTTTCTAAATATTTTATTTTTCTTTCTTTTACTCTATGCTCAGCTTTTAAAAAAATTTATTGTTACAGAAGTCACTGAAGTTTTATACTGTAAAAGAACGCTAAATAATCGCGGTTAATATTAATTATCTAAAATTAGATTTTTCTAAAATGGTAAAAGAATAATCGCGAAAAAAAGAAAGGTCGCGAAAAAACAAATTTTAAGAAAAAACTAATCGTGAAGGTGCGAAAAGTAATCGCGAATCGCGATAGCGATTCGCTTAATTCGAGCCCTGTATATCATGGAAACCCCCTAATTGCGCTACTGATTCATATATATGAATATGTATATATATATGTATATATATATATATATATATATATATATATATATATATATATATATATATATATATATATATATATAGATATGAATATATATATATATATATATATATATATATATATATATATATATATATATGAATATATATATATATATATATATATGAATATATATATATATATATATATATATATATATATATATATATATATATATATATATATATATATATATATATATATATATATATATATATATATATATATATATATATGAATATATATATGAATATATATATATATATATATATATATATATATATATATATATATATATATATATATATATATATATATATTATTATAATAGTTAAATAATAAATAAACTAAACTTTGTGCATTACTTGGATAAATTTTTATTCTGACTTTGTTTGCAAGCAAAAGCTTTAAAAGTAACCTGTTTAAGCATTGTTATCTATATATTTTTAATTATTTTTTACTTTCAATAAGGCTTCAAGCAACCACTATCAAAATGGGAGTTGCTAGAAAAAAAGTGTAGAGTTATAGAGCAATGAAGTGGTTGACAGAAGACTTGAAAAGTTGAAGGTTGTATGGGTCAGGAAAACATGAAGATGGGACAATAAAAGACAAATAAAAGTTTTTGGAGCATGAAGAGACAGATACAGTCAAAGAATGAGACTTTGATGAATGACAAGTCAAGTGAGAATGAGTTTTGATGGAACTAAAGATGAAAGCTCCTTTGAGCAGCAACCATGATAGTATTTGTAGAAAAGAAAAAGACTTGCAACCTTACGATAATGGGAAAGAGGCTCAAGTTTTGCAGATAGACCAGGTCCAACTCTGTTTACAATGCATTTTTAAACCTTGTCTTGAAGAAAAAGAGCATCATTAGAAGAACCAGCTCAAATATGATAACAGTATTCCATACAGGGACAAATAAGAGATTTGTAGAGGTAGGGAATGGAATCAGGAGAAAGAAAATGATGAGCACGATAAAAAGAAGCAACCTTAGCAAATGCTAATTTAGCAATCGATTGTATATATTGTTTCCTTGAAAAGTCAGTAGTAAATGATAATTCAAGAAGACGTAAAGAAGTAGAATCAGTGAGAGGGTTGCCATTCATATTCAATAGACAGTACTACAATAGTTATTTGTCTGACAGCAAGATATTTGACTCGAGATGGAATGCGAGAAGTTTGTTTATCAAAGACTCTAAGACTTTCCTAATAAGAGAAAGAAGACTGATTGGACAATAATCGGAGGGGTCAATAAGTTTACCTCAGTGTTTAAAAATTAGATCAACAGATGCCATTTCCAGCAGGCAGGAAAACAAGATTCAGCCAAGCACTTAATAATTGTTTAGAGAAAATTAAAGAGAATTCTGGAGAACAATTTTGTTAGACTGTGACAGGAATGTTGTCTGGACCACAAGCCATAGAAGAGTTATAAACTATGACTATGAGCAATGGAAGATATGGCTATGAGCAATGGAAGCTGAAATGATTTGAATGTCTAACAATGGGTTAACTTGTTTAATTAGAATGGAAGGAAGAGAATGGCCATAAGATTCGAGAATCGGATTTGAAGAGAATTTCTTTGCAAATAGTTCAGCCTTATTTCATGTATTTAAGTATAGCCAAGTACCAAGTATATTTCTAAATCTTTAATTTTTTTATTTCAATTCACCTCCCTAAGGCCACAAAGGCCACCTTAATTGAGAAGAATAATTTAGTTATGGTTACAACCCTCTTTCAACTTTATAACTCAGAAACACAAACCTTGATGAACAATGCCTCTGTGTGTAGAAACAAGTTAAGCGCTGTACTACCAGGGACGTGGTGGGGATCCAACATCACAAATTAAAATAATTCTAAAAACAATTTATTTATCTAAAAATAATTTATGTCTAAACAGCACATGATTGTTGTTTAGATATCTAAATTGCTAATAAATTGATAAAGAATTCTAAGTAAACTGCATATGCATATTTTCTTTTTTTAAAATTAAAATCAAAAGCGTTCCTCTATAATTGTATTTATTTTTTCGAATTAAATTTAATTGTATTTAAGTTTTCATTTCAAAGTAGAAAAAAAATAAAAATGTATATTTTTTTAACTGAGTTTTTCTAATATCTTTTAAAATAATTGTTTGGCTTTGGTTTGAGTCTAGGTATTTGTTTAACGGTACCAATTTAAAGTTTTATGGTTTTAAATTTTCCTGTTTTTAATATATATTAATGATCTACCAAACGCTTCTAACATAATGACAATTGTGTTTGCTGATGATTCTAACCTATTTCTTTCTCATAATAACATTATTACACTTTTTAGCAATACGAACATTGAACTAGTCTGAATGGTTTAGATTAAACAAACTCTCACTAAATATTGATAAAACTAAATGGATTCTTTTTCATCCTTGTGGTAAAAAGCACCAGCTGCCTAGCAACTTACCTTTTCTATTTATCGATATCATAGTTATTAATAGAGTTTTAGTGACAAGATTTTTAGGTGTATATATCGATGAAAATCTTACATGGAAATGCCACATTGCTAACTTGTGCAGTAAAATTTCAAAGAGTATAGGCATACTATACAAAATAAGAAACGTTCTTGATAAAAATACCTTAATTAAATTATATTATTCGTTAATTCATTGCCATATCAAATATGCAAACATTGCTTGGGGTAGCTCTTATAAAAGTAAACTTAAACCTCTCTATCGGGAACAGAAGCATGTAGCACGTCTTATAAATTTTAAGTACCGTTTTGCTCACGCCAAGCCTCTTTTCTATGATATGAAAGAACTCAATATATATGAGTTGAATGTTTTAATATTCTTTGTTTTAAGTATAAATGTAAGACCCACCTATCACCCGTTTCTTTTCGTAACTTGTGTTTACAAAAAGATAGAAATAAATATATTCTAAGGAACGATAACTTAATTCGACAACCGTTTTCTCAAACTAATTTTGGAAAATTTTTTATTTCGTTTTGCGGACCATTTCTATGGAATAGTATAGTTCTAAATACTTCTAAAGATTTTTCTCAAGAATGTAATTTTGATTCTTTTAAACAAAATCTTAAAAATCTCATTTTTTCAACTGAAAATATAATAATATACTTTTAAATTTTTGAAAATCTCTTATCTTTATTAGTATATGTATATATTTAATGTACATTCTTTTTTATTTATTTATTTTTTATCAACAAGCAATTATTTAACATGTTTTATTTTAATGAATTATTTAACATGTTTTAGTTTTTACATTTTAGAACTCTTATATTGTAATATTGTATGTTTATTTATAATATTATATTACGAACTTTATATACTTTTATTATTAAATTTAATTTTGTAATAAAAAGAAATTGAACAAAAATAAATAAATATAAAGAATGAAAACATTGAAAAAAAAAATTTTTAATTAAAAAAAAAAAAAGTTCAATAGCGGTTTCTCTGTGACAAGACCTGGTCTTCTTTGAGTATTCGCGTTCTTTATAATTATTTTTATTATTTATTACTTAACGATATCTTGATTTGTTAACTTTTCTTTTTTCTTTTTTATATTACTTGTATCTGTATCATAAATATTGTAATAAAGAACAAAAAAAGAAAAAGAAAAAAAAAATATTTTCAAATTTTTAATAATTAGGAAATTCTTCGGTATCGGCATCGGTATCGGCCTTTTTCCATCCATCGGCATCGGTATCGGCATCAGCCAAAAAAGTGAAATCGGTACATCACTAATATTTATATATATATGAATCAGTAGCGCAATTAGGGGGTTTCCATGGTAACCGGAAACCCTATTATAAATTGTTAAAAAAAGAAAATTTTAGTCAACCTTTAAAAAAAATTACTCAACAAAATAAAATGCAAATAATATTTATTTGTAATATACTATTGTTTGTTAATGTTTAAATTATAGGTGGTACAAAGGTAAAAAATATTGAAAAAATCAATTTTTGAAAACTATATACATATATATATATATATATATATTTATCATTTCCTATCTAAATGCACGGTCAGACTTGTTGCTTACAAGTCCGAAAAATAGTAGGCCAGTTTTTACGATTTATTAAACTCATTATTTATTATTTATTAAACTAATATTATCTATAAATATATTTTAAATATCAAATATATTTCAACAAAAATACAAAAGCCA